CAGCGCTTAGCCGACCGTTATAACTTTTTCATGCGGGTTTAGCTGGCTTTTTCGGAATGTTGTTGCCACTCGACACTAGCAATGGACTCGTACATATGTATATATATACATAAACATATATATATTTATATATGTATGTATTCGTAAATGTCCATTTGCACTTGCCTTTTCAGCGTTTATTTCTTTTATTATGCATTTGGCTTGCAGCAGCTGTCCTTCCTCCCCCTCTTGGTGGGTGCGCGTGAAACGAGAGCGCTCTACTTTAATTGAAAACTACAAATAATATTTTTTCTGGTATTGAATTGAGTTGACTGCTTTGTGAAAATTACTATCCGCAATTCACGCGTCGGGAGAAATTTTTATTTGTATACGAAATAAATTAATAAACAGTGAAATGTCGGTATGAATAACAGTGCATTGATAGTGTGAATATAAATCTTGTTGGGGGGGGGGAATGGGAAACGGATGCAAGTTTTGTAATTATTGTTTTCACTGTGCATTTTTTAAAAATAATATTTACCATGCCAGTATACACATACCCGCATAACTGTTGATAACGATTTCGGAAATTACTGACTGTTTTTATGAAATGCAACTCTGTGTGGGAGAAAATTAAATATGCATTTTAAATAAATTGTTTGTAAATAAACAATAATTTTTAATTGTATAACATGTGTTCGGGAATACCAGAAGTATTTGAGGTGTTTGGCTTAACTCTAGATTGAATTTTTAAGGGTTATACATAAATGCTCGGGTCGGCGGAGTCCACATTACTGCCAAACCATACTTTCTATAACAAAAGTCAAATACAGCCAAATTCTTCTTGAATTTTTTAACATAGAGAAAGTCTTCAAGCTCATCTACAATATATTTGAAATCCTCTATCTCCATCTAGCCGGTATGCTTTTTCAAATATCATTGAATCATTGAGAATGTTGTAGAAGCTTTTTGTAGAGTCTACTTTATCACAAAAACAATCATTTGAGCGGCAGTGAAGGTTGTAAAGTCATCTAAAATTTGCCTCATGTCAGTTGTCTATCCACCTCTGTCATCTCTTATGGATCGACTGAAAACATTTTGGTTAATGTTTCGGGTATAAAGCGTGTCATTGCTAGACTCGTACCAAAACACCTGAATCATTTGCGAAAACAACGTCGAGTAGAGGTCCATTCATCAAATGCACCATTAATGATGTAATGTATTTTTATAATAAGACGTCGAAACTGTATAACAATCTAACGAATGACGCTACAAAAATGAGCCGAAACCGAAAAAATCAAAATTTACTGACGGCGTTTCTTGGCTCAAGACCATTATTTTGAAAGCGATAATAAAGATTTGTCTTAAAATACGTGAACACTTTTTTTGTCAGTCCCAGTCAAGTTTGATTAGATGGTATTACGCGTCATCACATTCTCGAATCTTTAATTCCACAATCACGCTGCATCATAAACTCGAGTTTAAAGTTTTGTGTATTATTTTTGAGTATTTTGGGTGTACTGTTAAAACAATTAAAAGCGTGGTTCTCTATGGTGAAGACAAATATTATAATTGTGCGGTTAATTTTGCACAATGGATTTATATCTCTATAAACATCCAAAAATGTGTTTAAGACTTGAAGTTTTTTATGGCAAACCCTGTGTTTCTTAGTACAGTTTAATGGTAAACTGAGAAAAATAATTTCGAGTAAGTGACGGTATCATAAGATTTTTCAAAGCCCAGCGAACTTCGCTTTCAATTTGTGGTGTGGGCCTTGATGCTCTTCAAAGGATGGAGAGGCCTACAATGTTAAAGTCGGCACAGAATGAAAAATTTATGTTACGAAGAATTTCTTTATGGCAGAAGTATGCACGGAGATTTGCCGTTGCCTGCCTGCTGGTGGTGAGCACTTAAGAAAATTAAGTTTATATTTATGTTATTCGGAACCCAGGTCTTGAGTATTGGCAGTGGAAACATGCAATCACTAAACCAAAGCGTCCACTTAAAAATAACTATTCAATAAATTTTGGATATATTGTCCGCGTTGAACCAACACCTCCACCAAAAACACAGCAATCTGTACTTGCTCGACCTTTGTTGAATAGAACATGAAATCCAATATCATCGATTCATCTTAGTGTTTCTCAATGGTTTCCATTCAATAGTTTAGGGTAGTGTTTACAGAATGGTTGAAGAGCACATTTTCTATTAATACTGAGATCAGGTTTCTTTAGTCAGGTTCTTGATCTAGTTGACCGAAAAGAAAGTTTGCAATGTTTAGAGACCGCTTTCCTTATTATTCCTTCATTGGATCATTTTAGTTTTGAGAACAAGAAAGATAACGGATGCTTAATGATTTCTAAGTCAATATTTTTTTACTATTATAAAGGAATTGGTTAATTCTTTATCAGTGAACATACCATTCGGTAAGAACGCAGGATACATGAGGTGAAAAACTTGCGCTTGAGTTTTACTCATATTTCTAGAACAATTTACTACTTCCTGAAGAGTTAAAATAACAATAAATATATTTTAACAAAAAAAATTGTTTAAATGTAACAGTCTTTTACTTCTAAATTACAATTCGGCTTTAAGTACTTCCCTCTACATAACTCATCATCATCATCGTCTACAGCAATCACCTTAAGACACTCACAACAATCATTCACCCCAAAGAGCCATCAGCACCGAGTCTGTGCCGTTATGACGCATATTCAGCACACGTTTGCACATAATTAAACTCTAATGTGTATGTAACGAGTACAACAATAGCAACATTGCGGCTGAAATATGAAGTTAATTTGCGTTATTGATGATGTGCGTCGATGTCGGTGCCCAACTAAATTATATAGGCGCGCACATGCAGGCGATTGCACACACAGACGCTCATTTAGTTACATACAGCGCTCTTGCATGTTGATGGATAAGTGTAGATATGTATGCATGTGAATGTGCGATATTTTACAAGGGTTGTCTTGGCAGTTTAGAAAATCAAACAAAATTATTATTAGTGTAAAAATATTTGAAATTGATTTCGTATTTCTACTTTACTAGGGTAATAGGAATGTTTACTGAGTGCGAGATGTAAAAATAATATTTTTGTGGGTAGTACTGTTTGTGAGATACACAAGAATAATAACGGTAATTTTTGAAAATGAGTAAACAATGACTGTACACAAATATAAAATGCAAAATCACACTTTTTGAAATTTTTTTCTGAAATACATAAGTACAAAAACAAGAAAAAACGTTACTTCGAATCCACCAAAGCTATATATATAGCATAGGTATAGTTTTTCAGCATAAAACATCTTTATCTTAATATTGATCGGTCACTTTGAGACTAGTTCGCCGGAGAGACGGACATGACTGGTTACGCTGATTACGTTATAGAGTCTCCTTTTGATTCTTACAAACATCGTGGCAAACTTTATGTATATACCCTGTTCAAGTTATAATTAAAATTAACCGGGTTTTGCGTTACAACTATTTTTTTGAAATAATTAAATATATTTTTTTTTTATTTTAATGATATTATTTAATTTTCTGTACATTTATTTGAAATCTTTCAAACTTTTTTTGAACATTTTTTCCAAATTGTCTTTTTTTTATTTATATTTTCAATCCTCAAATATTTTTTTTATTAGTTATGAACCACCTTTATCCATTTACGTACAGCGGACACAGGCTACATTACATTCGCTCTTCGGTTAACACTTTTGCACAGTTGACGCTTTGATGAAAGTTAATTTATTATGTTACAATGAACTTCGACACCCGGAACTCCTGACACTTAAACATCGGTAATAAAACAATGAAAGCGGCAAGCGCCACGAACCGTTAAGTGGAATATCGATACAGCGGGGGAGAAACTAGAAAACACCTGTTCATTTTGACATGCAGATACATTAGAATATGCCTGAGGTGCAATTAAAGGTGAATGCATATCTAGTTATGTTATATATTATATATTCGTGTACAGACATGTACTTAGTTGCTACATACCTATAGTAGCTAGTGGGAGAGTCCTTTTAGTGGAAATGCAGGTGGAGAAAATTTTTTAGTGATCAATTTGCAATACATTTTCAGAAGTAGCTGTCAAAATCGTTAACATCACAAATAATATAGACCAAACTCAAAATTATTGATACACATCCTCATTAAATACCATAGTATGGTGTATATAACGAACAGAACTCACCATGCTGCAAGATATCACATCAACATCCTCTTTAATTTCTAGTTGTAGAGTCTTGAGAAACTTTTAGGATCCATTATTATTCCCTTACAATCTTATGTGATTAAAGGAATTTCCTTTAAGCGCATAGTTTTGGAAGGCACTGTATCCATCGAAGCAAGTACAGGTGCACAAAATCTCATAGATGAGCTCACCACTACAAATACAAACATATAGTAAAGTGTGGCATAAGGACAAGTTGATTAATGATACATCTAAACGCCCGCCATTTACCAAATGCTCTTAACTAGATCATAAGCGTATGTGTGTGTGAGCTTGTGGGATACATTGTATTTCTATTTACTCGTACTTTGAACTTAAGTGCTCGAAGTGATAAATGCTTATTTAAGCGATGAAATATAAGCTCATGCTTGTATATATGTATAGTATGTGCATATATGTATATATATATACATATATATACAATATGTGTGTAATTATATATCTATATGAATAGTTTCAGATTGCATTTTCCTTTTAAGAAGTTTGAAAGGGAAAATGAATTAAATTGAAATCCAATCGCTTTCTTGGAAACTGAGATTCACAGAATGTGAGCATGTAATTGGATATTGTGTGATATAATTTCATTTATAAATATGATTATATGTATATCGAATATATGGTCGTTGGTCAATAAACTCTGTTTAGAGAGAATAAAGTTGTTGAAGAGAGCACATAAGAAATATGTGATGACAGATGATATTTATATAATATATATATATATATATATATATATACCTACATGTATTAAACCCAATAAAAAATATTTTTCCTTCTCTTTTAGTTGAAACGTCGACAAATTTCTCTGAAACTATAAATTAAGAAACACAAAGTAAGTACTGAAACATTGTTCATACAAATAGTTTACATTCTTTTATGGAATACTTATATCTAACACGAATTTTATTACATGTATAATTTATTACTTTTCTCAAAAAAAATTTACCCTCGCGCTAAATTCTAAATTTCGTATAGATATTTTTTGAACTCCGTGAAATTACTTCTTTTCTCAAATATATGGCAAAAAAAATTACTTAGTCCTAAACACTCTAGTTCCTTTTCCGATTAAAAAAAAGCTTTAAAACGTGAACAACTCTTATTCTTATTCATGCGTCCTACAAAGTTATGAATTTGGAATCTCTAATGGTATTCTCATATTGTACCAAAAACTTTTCGTTAAAGCTTTTGAGTATTTTATTTTGTGAGTTTAAGAAACTCGGAGTTTTATTTGTTTCTAACTAAATTTTACTAAATTTTGTTGCAAAGTACAGTTAAAGTGTTTTTTATGAAAAACACGGTATTTGTTAGTAGTGTTTAATGATAAACACGGAAAAAGCCAATAAATTCGAATTAGTACCTAAAGTGAATATAATAAACGATTTTTCGAAGTCAACCAGTTAATACTTAGTAGAGAATTCGATTATTTTATGATCTCAGTTGTTATCGGAATGAATTCAAGTCTTCTGAATGATTATGAATCCAAAAAAATTAGATGTAACAATTGGGTTTTTTTTTTGAATGGAGAAAACTGCGGCTAAGACTGCTGTTAAGCAAGTTTCAAAATATTGCGATAATTTTCCAATAAAAATGCTTTTAAAATATAAAAGTAATCAAAATCTGAAATCAGTTTTTGGCGCTGACAGATCTTTCGTATGTCAAACGTTGCCAACTTTTTAATTGACGTAAGCTATATACATATGTTATTTTATTTCTCTAATCGAAGAGTTTTTTAAAGTTATAATACTGTCTCGGTATTTTCGATATATGGTTTGGAAAAGTGATTTCTTACTAATTAGGAAAAAAGCAAAGCAAAGCTCAGTTGTATGACAAAAAGATATCCTTGGGGTTGATGTTGTCTGCGTTGCCTACTAATATTGTTTGTTCAAATATTTTTCCATATTTAGCTCATTTCTGTGAGTTTATCTCTTTCCGTAGTTGTCAAAACTTTGTTGCTGGACAACACAGTTGACTTAATTGACATTGGCAGCCTTGCCAGCTAATTTCTAAATACATGGTCTTGTTAGGCAGTGCTTTTTAATATTTATAAATGTAAATGCAAACTTACACAAAAAAACCATTTTCGCTTATTATACCCTACACAAAGTATATTAAGTTAGTAACGAAGTTTGTAACACCCATACGTATATATAATATAAATAAGCAGCATGACGAGCTGAGTTGGTGTAGCCATATCCGTTTGTCCGTCTGTGTATACGCGATCAAAATCAAGAAAAATATATTTTTATACACTTCCATGTTATACGAAATGCACCTGTAAAGGGTATTAATCCGTCAGTGCAGCTGAAGTTAACATTTTCCTTTTTTTTATAAGCATTTATATGTTTGTATTAAGAAAGCCATTTCTTCATTTAAATAAGCGCCATTAGAGCTAAGTAGACAATTTGCCTTATTTTAATGCGACTTTCACAATTCATGCGACTTTCCATTACATAAATGTAAGTTTGTGCGCGCATCTTACGACTGACTGCTCGACTCTTCGCGAATCAAAGCTCATTTACATTTTAATTGAATTTCGCACATTTCCGGTCGCGCGCAAAAGCAGAGTCTACTTAACATTGAGAACGTAACTATTTGTCTGCTGATGTTTGTTGGAGCATATGAATATTGCCAAAGAGTTAGAAAGTAGAAGGCCTTGAAATTTTATTACAACTATGAACTCTCAAGCGCAAGTGTGTATGTATGTATATATGTGTGTGAAACGAAATGAAGTGAAATTTATGAAAATTGCTTCAAAGTGGATACGAGTGGATGGTTGAGTGAGGAAAATGCACCAATCAGATTTGGTAGCACAATTCAAATAGCTGGCAACATAGCTAAACCAACAACTACAACAACAAAAAACAGTTGCATAAACACATAACACTCCCCGTCCGTCGCGACCTCTATCGGTCAAAGTGCTTCTCGTGAAGGTCAAGTGCGATTTGGATATGGGTGGAGGCAAATCGGCGTAACGGGGCAACCTGTCGCAATGCGAATTGCATTTTAATGAATACGCTGAGCACTCACTCAACAGGCACAAAAATACACATACACACATGTAAGCATACACACACACGCTAACTCATCATGATGTTTAGGCAAATCGAATGCTGATTCCATCTTCCACTCGTTCGGCAATCGAAATTATCACACTGCATAGCAATCACTTTGTTGCTACTATTACTCTCTATGTGGGGCATATGATGTTAATGGGAGGTCGCAGCGGCGCAACTGCCTCGTTGACAGCGGAAAAACGCCGTAATGAGACTCATTAAGCGCACATCCGGCTCGGATGCGGATGCATGCAACCGACCCAGCATATGCCAGCATTCGCAGCAACGCTTCGGCATATGGATTTTCGCTATATTTCCTATACATTTATGTTGTAGTTGTTGTTATGCGCTCGCCACAAACACATTAACACACAGCGGTTTTCCGATTAACATTTGGATCTGCTATATGTAAATGTGTGTGTTCGCGTGGGTGTATGCGCGCCAAAATTCATTGCGCCAACGATTTCATTATATTGACAACCTTTGACGCTTTGACGTCTGTCGGCAGCTCAACTTTAGTATCATGAAGTTCGCATATTCGTATTTCGACACTAATTAATGTGGTTTTGGTCAGCTGCTCATGTGTAATTATCGGACACTGGGGTATTGTTTTTCACTGCGGCTGTTGCTTCTTAATATATGAAATGCTGTGGCGCTGTTTGACTATCAAATGGCAAATGTTGGCCGAAATGTGCACATATTTCTGTGCGCTTTATGTGCAAATGAATAAACAGTGAAGGTTGGCTCTTGTAACGAGATCGTTTGTGGCATGAAAATAAGTATATTCGAGCCAGAAGCGGCTGTATTAAAAATAATTTCAATAATGTCCATTTTGTATTTAATTTAATAATATCACCCTCATAAAAACCATCGTCGCTTTTGGGAAAAAACTGGAACAGTCGATTTGCTTGAGCATTCTTTGAGGAGAATGTTTCACTAGCAAAATCAGTCGCCTTAGACAAGAACAGGTGCATAGTAATCCCTTGGTGCCAGATTCGAACTATAAGGTGGTGTTATCACCTTCCTCAAATTATTTAGTAATGATTTATTACCTTATCAACTGTTTCAACTCAATCTGCTCACATCACTTCAGTAGGTTATCCATAATGTAATGCTTCTTCAATTACTTATAGATAAAAATAATAACTATAACAGTATGTATATTCATAAATAAAACATAAAATTGAAGTAGACAACTTTCAATTTGCATATCTCTACCCAGCTGTACTCTATATTATTGCATGTTGCACATATTAATACAGCAAAATATTAAAACTCACATCTATAAATTCGTGGGTGTGCCCCACCTTATAGCTTACATTTCTCAGAATGTTGTAATTTAATGCCCCTTTAAAATGTATGCACTCATGAATACAAATATACAAATATGAATACAAATATAAACATATGAGTACGTATATATGTTCTATTTATACAGTAGCAAACATTGTATGCAGTCTTGAACGCAATACCGACTAAACGCTCTCATGGTCTACGGTGCGTATGAGTAATTTTCTGCTGTGGCAGCTCAAGCGAACAAATACCATATTGCATTCCCTCGTATTAATACACAAATACAAACGCATAAATAAACGAAAACTCAGATTAAAATTGCAAGTTTGTAGCAATCACTATAGTATATATATATATTATAAATTGTGTAGAATAATTTTGTATGATCAAAGTGCTTACAAGCTATGAAGTTAAGTATGCATATCTAGAGGAGTATGTATGTAAGCGATATGTGGAATAGACTCTTAAATGAAATGCAGCTCTTAAATAGCTTCAATTTAAAATTTTATTAGTATGCTAGTATTGAATTAAAATTGGAAAATCTTTGTATAAGTTATTGAGGCAAAATTTCATTAGAGAAATGGCGTTTAGCGCCAAATTTTGTCATGAAATGGGTTAGCATTGGTCCTCAAAATATTGAAATAATCAAGTAGTAGTTTCAAATAATCCAAATAGAGTTCAGCATTAATTCAAAATAGCTCAAAACTCTCCCGGAATATCTTGTACACACAAGTATATATGTATGGTATATATGCTTAAGGTGGCAAGTCTTCTAAAAATATTTTTTATCTTAGCCCCATACTTTAGTATTTTTTAGACTTTTTATCTCAATACAAAATATATATATTGTATTTTACTTTTCATTTAATGTGGCAACTTTAAACTATTTTCTTTCCTAGTTTCATACTTTAGTGTATATTTGACTTTAAATCTCTATAAAAATACATATTAATTTATTTCATGGTTGGCAACTCTTCTCAAAACATTTTCTATCATATTGCCATACTTTAGTGTTTTTTTATTTACTTTTTATCCATGCACAAAATATACATTAATTTAATTTAAAATGGCAACTCTTCGAAAAATATTTTTTTCATAACCCCATACTTTAGTGTTGTTTTGACTTTTAATCTCTATACAAAATAAATATTAATTTAATACCTATACTTGTAAGATTGCAAATCTTCTATAAATATTTTTTATCGTCACCCCATATTTTAGTATTTTTGGACTTTTTATCTATGTACAAAATATACGGTAATTTAATTTAGTGGAAATACTGTAAATTTATTTCCTATATAAATTTGCGCAGTAAAATGATATTAAGAATGTTTATAATTAAAATTAACCCCATATTATAAATATAATAACTATTCTATATGAATATCTGTCAATTTGTTATTTGTCTGTATCAATTTGTTAAAATAGTTTAGGTCGACTTTTATTAATTGTAGTAATTGGGCTTTTTGTACTAATTTCTTCGTCA